TCTCTCTCTCTCTCTCTCTCTCTCTCTCTCTCCTCTCTCACTCTCTCTTTAAAAAAAAATCATAAAAAAAAAAGAATTTTAAAATTTTACTTAATGGTATATAAAGAAAAGTGAATGATATATAACTGCATGTTCATCATAATTCAATAAAGAAGTCTATATAGCCTAATATTTCTATTAAACTTGAAAATAACTTTTGGATTGTAACAATTGACTTCTACAAAATCAACAGTTATTTATAAAGTTATCCAACTATTGTTACTTTATAAAATTCTGCAGATATGAAACTAGTTTCTTATCAAGTTATTTTAATTTGCCATGCTTGAATATTACATAAGTTTAGAACTGAAGACACAAACACATGTACTTATCCAAAAAATGAAATGTCTTACTATGAAAATGTACTCTGGGCCCAATATTCTATTTCTTTTTATTTTATTTTTTTATTGGTTGCTCAAGACAATATAATGATCTTGACATATCATATATTTGATTCAAATGGGGTATGAATTCTTACTTTTCCATGTGTACAGATTGCAGGATCATATTGGTTATACAGCCACATTTATACATACAGCAATACTAGTGTCTTTTGTATTCTATTTCTAATATAAGCAAACATTCTATTTCTAATATAAGCAAACTCCCTTCATATACTGAAAGACTTTCACTGTAAAGTATATGATAGATATTCAAAATCATCCCATTTCCACCAAATTCATGTAAAGAAAAGTCTACTAGATAATAAATGTAGAAGACATATTTCATAATTTAAAAATATATAAATGATGTATTTTATTTATACAAAACAAAAATAATAGTTTCTTATATGGAAATAATTATGTCACTTAGACTATGAATCAAAATAAAAGCAGCATATGCATACAACATACTTATCTTTCTAATTATTCTCTTGGTTTAATTTATGCCTCACTTTGAGAAATTTGACATATTTTTTGGAATGCTAAATTTGCTTTTTATTTTCAATAATTGCCCTGATTTATTTTTGTATTACATTATTTATAGACATAACTCTTATACAGAAAGACACAACTCTTATACAGAAACTCTTATACATGCATATATATTTAAATTTCCAGTATACTTTAAGAATGGCACAGACAAATCCAAATGGAAAGCCAAGATAATTTATTCAACTAATTTAAGAGGCAAAGAATCAGCATGCAACAAGCCATTCTTTTCCCCATGGGAAGTTTTCTGAAATTTTCTTTTTTTTTTTTTATCCTTGTATCCCATGTCAAGTATAACAAGCAATCAATAATATAAAATTGATCATAACTATTCACTGTGTTAAAAAAAGGTAAGTATCTGTATTATACATAAAATATAATTGCAGACATTGTGTGTAGATCATGAAATTTTATAAGGTGATAGATTTTGGCCAGAGATTTACTCTGAACAGTGGTCTTAAGAACAAATGGTTGGCAGATTACTGGTTTTGATAATGAAATAGGAATGGAGAAGGACCCATTCCCCAGCTTGTATATTTGTTTTCATACACTACTTCTCTAAATTACCAAGTCATTAATTGAACAAAACAGGATATCTGCAGTTGTTTATAAATGTACACCAAATATTGTTTTTCAATCAAAATGCATCAGTATCATCAACTAATTTCAATAGGAAAGATTAATTACGTAAGTATTTAATTAGTATGTTACTTCAATTTCCAGCTCCAACAATGTATTTTGGGTAAGGTTTCCTGTTTTGATTATATTCATTGCTAGTAATTAAAACATGCTTAAGTGTCATATTGCATAAAATAACATTAACCACAATTCTACCTGTTGGTATACCTTATGCTGAGTATTAAATAATGGTAGAAATAACTAAACTCCCAACTGCTTAGAATACATAGATTAAACAAAATAAGTATTAAAATTATAATATTAGGTACCAGAAGCAAATGGGTGATAAGAAAGTATAATAGAAGTTGAAATTAAAACTCCAGCTTTATGAATAGTAAGTTTTGCTGGATTAAACGATTAGTCTTAAGGGACTAGTGTAAACAATGCCAAAGAAATACAAAAGAGCCAATTAGTGGCAATCTATACAACTGAACCTCAATATAGAAAATGAAGAGTTATAAGAAGCTTTCAAATTGGGAGTGATGTGTGTAAAGTAATGTTTCAGAACACAAATATGACTTCATTTAACAGAGAAAATTGAGATTTTTCAGTGACTGATGCTGGAAATACAAGAAGATGATTATCGTAACATCATAGATAAAGAATGAAGGACTGTCTTAGAATATCATTAATCACACCAACATATGCATAATGGTAGTACCAAAAAGTGAGGAAAGAAAGGAACAGAAAATCATTTTAAAAATAATGGCTAAAAACTTCCTAAATTTGATGGAAAAATATTATTTATAAAGTGAAGAACCTCAATGATTTTTTTCTTTTTATGGCTGAATAACTGTTATGGTTTAAATATTAGGTGTTCCCCAGAAGCTCACATGTGAGACAATGCAAGAAAGTTGAGAGGTGAAATGATTGAGTTATGAAAGGTTTAACATAATTCATTAATCTTCTGATAGGGATTAACTGGATGGTAACTATAAGAAAGCTGGGTGTGGCTGGAGTAAGCCAGTCACTGGGGGGTGTGACTTGGGGGTATAGTTTGTGGTGAAGGGAATATCTCTCTGCTGTCTGGTGTGATGTCCTGAGTCACTTTTCTCCACTACTCTTTTCTGCCATGATGTTTTGCCATATTTTCTCCCTAGAACAATGGAGCCAACTGTCTATGGACTGAGACCTCTGAAACTTTGTGAGCCTCCAAATAAACTTTTCTTTCTTTGATTATTCTTGACAGGTCTTTTGGTCACAACAGTGAGAAAGATGACTAAAACAATAATATTCCATTCTGTACATACACCATATTTTCTTTATTCATTCACTCATGGATTGACACTTGGATTGATTCCATGTCTTCATTATTGTCAATAGTACTACAAGAAACATGGGAGTACAGGTATCTCTTTGATAGACTGATTTCATTTTCTTTGAATATACACTCAGAAGCTGGATAACTGCATCACATGGTAGACCTATTTTTGGGTTTCTGAGGAATCTATACACTGCTCACCACAATGGCTATACTAATTTATATTTCTACTAGTAGTAGATAAGAGTTCCTCTTTTGCCACATGCTAACGTGTTATTTTTTGCTTTTTTTTTTTTTTTGGTAATAGTCATTCTGACTGACGTGAGATATTATCTCATTGTGATTATAATTTGCAATTCTCTGATAGCTAGTAATGTTGAACTTTCTGTGTGTGTACTTATAACCAAGCTATTTTTATTCCTTCTTTTGCAAAATATCAATTCAGATAATTTTCCCATTTTTTTAAAAAAAATTAATTTGTTACCTGTTGTTGCATTTTTTGAGTTCTGTATGTATTCTAGGTATTAATCTCCTGTTATATTAATAGTTTTAAGTATTTTCTCCCATTCTGTAGGTTATCTCTTGACTCTGTTGATTATTTGGTTTGCCACACAACAGCTTCTTAATTTGATGTAATACCATTTGTCTATTTTTGCTTTTGTTGCCTTCACTTTTAGGGTATTAAAAATCATTGCCTATATTAATGTAATTTTGTAGTTTCCGTTCTTATAGTTAGATCTTTGATGCCATGTGAGTTGAGTTTTGCATATGATGAGAGAGGTCAAATTTCATTCTTCTGCATATGGATATCCCATTTCTCCAGCACCATTCATCAACTAGGCTGTCCTTTCTTCATTATGTTTTTGTTTTTTTGTTTTGCACCTTTGCCTGGAATCAGTTGACTGCAGATATTTGGATTTATTTCCAAGATTTCTATATTCCATTCCACAGATCAATGTTTTAGTTTTTAGGCCAGTACTACGCCGCTTTGGTTACTTTAGCTCCATAATATGTCTTGAGATCGGATGTTGCAAGGCCTCTAGCTGGCTGTTCCTTTTGTTCAACATTACTTTAGTTATTTGGAGTTTTTGTGATTTCATATAAATTTTAGAATTGTTTTTTCTATTTCTGAGAAGCATATTATTAGTATTTTGATAGGAATGTTATTTAATCTGTAAATCACTTTGAAGTTGTATGGACATTTTTTTTAAGTTGTTGATAGACCTTTATTTATTTATTTATTTATATGTGGTGCTGAGAATCTAACCCAGTGCCTCACACATGCAAAGCAAGTGCACTACTGCTGAGCCATAGCCACAGCCCTGTATGGACATTTTTAACAACATTAATTCTTGCAATCTACGAACATGGAAGGTCATTACATTTTGTGTGTTTCTTCTATTTATTCCTTTTTTGGTCATTTTAATTGTAGAGGTCATTCATTTCCTTGGTTAAGTTTTTTGTAGGTATTATATAGTTTTTAAAAATAGCTATCATGAATGAAAATGCTTTCTTTAAAAAGTTTAAGAACATTCAGTATTCTACTCATTTTGTAAGAACTGTAACTCTCCAAACTACCTATAATTGACTATTACTCTTTATTTGAATAATTTGCCTATTTTCAAATTTATTCTTGCTACATATTAGCTCATTTCATTTAAAAAAATCACTATAATTTTCCCTGGGAAAAAACTGAATTTGTGGGTAACTAACATCTTTATAATATTCAACATATATATTCACATATAGAGTATGCTTTTCATTTACTCAAGATTTGCAGTTTATGTTCCTTAGTAGAAATAATACTTCATACTTACTTTAAGGTTTACCCCCATATATTTTTATGGGTGCTATTACTTAAAACTGTTTTATAATTCT